GCCCCCAAACACACACGGTATGACACAGTGACCCAACTTTAGGCAAAAGGGTACCACTGCCAGCAAATGCATTTAACATTTTATTGAGATTCTCAACAGCTGCCATTTGGTTTGTATAGCAAAGTTTTTACAAAGTAAAGTTTTTCCATTTTTGATATTTTTATGAAAATTATTTTCTTCCGTTTTAAAGCCCTGTCCCTCCCCCAAAGAAGGATTAATAACTACCAAGTAATGATTAGGAAAAAAAACAAAAGCAAAAACAGCTTTTAAACACTTGTGAAACAAGGGTAAGTGTCCAAAGTCAAGACCTTCTGGGCCCAGTGGAGGTGCTGGGCTGCCCCGGGACACCATCACTACCTCACCATCTACAATATCCTCAAGAGCTGAGCAGCCCTGCACAGACCCTGGGGGGCTTCCTGTTCCACAAGTTCCACTCCCTTTTTCTCTTCATCTTTGCTGTTGGGCCTCCCCTCCAAATCTGCCTAACAAAGGCAGCATGATCTTTAGTACCTGTGCAGCTTTGTAAATGGAGACAGGATACTCTATTTCGAAAGCTGAGATTCCCTGTCCAGTCTGGGGGAGGAAAAAGTATCCAATGTAGCATGGATGGTTTCACTTTCTTGTCCACTCAGACACACGCTCATACTTATTAAATGGATTTATCGGATGCTTCAAAAGTCCTGATGTGTAGTAGCACAAAAGTTCCTTGTAAAAAAAGAAGTTGCAAAATTGTAAAAATTTCTGCAGCAGTTCTGACGCCGGATGACAAAGCTCGTTCTGATTAGTAGGTTTTCTTTGACAGGCACAGCAGCTTCCCCTATAAGTCTTACGTTCGGAGGGTTCCATTTAGACCACAGGAAGCTGGAATCCAAGTTTAAAAGGCTCTCTGCTGACAAAATGTGGTACATCCATCAATGGAATTCTACTCAGCAATAAAAGGAACAAACTACCAAAACATGTTGTATGTCATGGACGAACCTCAAAAACATTAGCTAAGTAAAAAAGCCAGACCCAAGAGACCGCATATTGTATGATTCCATTGATTCGAACTGTCTAGAAAAGGCAAATTTATAGAGAAAGTAGATTGGTGGTTGCTGGGGGTAAGAACATGATTAACTGTAAAACAGCATGAAGGATCTTATCAGAAGGGATAAAAATGTTCTAAAACTGAGTAATAGTTATAGCTACACCACTGAGGGAAGTTACTAAAATCACTGAATTGTACACTTGAAATGGGTGTTTTATGATATGTAACATATGCCTCATTAAAGTTGTTTTGTTTTTAAGAAAAGGACTCCCTGCCTCCCAAACCATCCTTCAAGTATTAAACATTTTTGAAGGCTCACAATCAACAGGACAGAATTACTTACTGATGATTTACAGAGTAAAATATTTTACTATTTTATAGTAAGCACATTTTAGTAACTGTAAACTAGTAAAATATTTTAAAGATTTTATCTCATTTTTGTCATATTAGTCTAAAATGTTTATTATTTTTGTATAAAAGGTAGCCAATAGGAAGGTAGGACTGGGGAGAAAGCTCAGCAAATGTCACAAAGGAGACTCCTAGTAACAAAATCTGAGGGAGCTTTTTCCTTTAAAATAAAGATGGTGCATCTGTCCCTTTACAGATTTCTCTCCTGTCCCCTGGGACTGGGGAAGGTGAATCTCCTGCCTGACACCCTGTCGAGAATAGTGTATCCAGCTGTTCTATTCCCATGATGCCTCTAAAAACCAGACTGACTGGGAACAGCAGTAGGGGTTTGGCCAGTGAGGGCAGGTGGCCAAGTGGTATGCAGGAAACTCTCATGTTTCCCTGGGTTGGCTTCCTGCTCCCCTTTCCCTGTCATGAATAGCAGTTTCAGTATGAGAAGATTAAAACAAAGGAAAAAACCCACAAAAACCAAAAACCAAAAAACAAAAAACTGTTTTCAAATTGTAACTAACCAAGTCTGTGGAGGAAATTCACAAGGCAGCAGAGCAGCATCTGCAGAAGGTGCTCTGCCTACCGGGAGAACTAATGTTCCCTGTGAGCAATGCGGGCTGCAGTGAGTCACACGGGGAAATGTGGGCAGAGGCAGAAGGACATCAAGGCCCCCACTACACTCCAAATCGGAGTCAATCCTCCTCTTCTCCCCACCCGCTTCCCAAACTAATGACGTCCGCGTTATCCCAGAGGAGAGCGGCTAGGGACACCCAGTCCTTCCCAATATGTGCACATCTCCAAATCTTGGTCAAATCTGTCAGATTTCTAATAGTCCCAATACCTCAATATCACCTAAACTGAGAAAGATTATTAGCCCGTGATGGTGGGATCCTTATTGAAGAAGGCCTGCCCCCTCCTCACAGTAGGGCAGACTCCTGGGTTCCCGATGGTTCAGGAGCCTGGGCTGTCATTTTTCTACCTGGGGTTTGCAGCCGCCCTAATACAAGAAGATTTATTCATGCTGTTTACTTTGGCGGCCTCTTCACACAATTTTCCTCTCTAACACGTGTTAACTGTCAGAGTATTCACCTCACCTCCTTACTTCCCAGCTTCTCCAAAATCAATGTAATAGTAATCAACAATTTGGAAAATGCTGCTTAGTATTTTAAGCCATGGTTAGCTTTATAACCTTAATTAAAGAGAGTGCAGGCTCGGGTGGCTCACCACACCCAGCCTATAATCCCCAGCACTTTGGGAGGCTGAGGTGGGAGAATCACTTGAGCACAAAAATTTAAGAACAGCTTGGGAAATAGAGCAAGATCTAGTCTCTACAAAAAATAAAAATAATAAAAATAATTAGCTGGCCGTGATGGTGCGTGCCTATTGTCCCAGCTACTCAGGAGGCTGAGATGTGAGGATTGCTTGAGCCCAGGAATTTGAGGCTGCAGTGAGCTATGGTCATATCACTGCACTCCAGCCTGGGTGACAGAGTGAGACTATGCTTTAAAAAAAAAAAAAAAAAAAAAAAAAAAAAAAAAGGGACCCCAGCTGCTGTGATTTTAGAAACTAAAGGTGCTACAAAGGTCAAGCCTTTTCCTTAGGATGGTTTCTGGTTTCACCCTTATGTGATTCCCAAAAGTCAACTATTATTGCCAGAAACTGGCCCAAAGACCCAGGGCTGCATTTGCCCAGGCCTAGGCTGTATCCTTGAATTTTCTGCTGCAGTTCAAAGGTAGAGAAACTGAAAAGGCATTCATTTCCCTTTTTTTCCCTTGAAAATAGAGAGATAAATTATTTTCATCTTGGAATTTTAGAGTTGAATAAATAACCCCAATAATTACAGATCAATCACTAATAAACTAACACTGGGACCAGCCAGATTGGCAACTGTTAAAAATACATGTTCTACTTCTTTTTTTTTTTTTGAGACGGAGTCTTGCTCTGTCACCCAGGCTAGAGTGCAGTGGCGCAATCTTAGCTCACTGCAACCTCCACCCACTGGGTTCAAGCAATTCTCCTGCCTCAGCCTCCTGAGTAGCTGGGATTATAGGTGCCTGCCACCGCACCCGGGTAATTTTTGTATTTTTAGTAGAGATGGGGTTTCACCATGTTGGCCAGGTTGGTCTTGAACTCCTGACCTCATGATCCACCCGCCTCGGCCTCCCAAAGTGCTGGGATTGCAGGTGTGAGCCACTAAGCCCAGCCTACGTGTTCTATTTCTATACAAATTCTCAAACTTCTAGTTGCCAATTAAAAAAAAAAGTTTAAACAGAGTAGTGGCTTAAATTCAACATCACCCCTTACAAATACAAGCGTCACCATTCAAGGGTAAAGGGTTTCAGCCTGGCTTGCTGGTTCTACTCCTGTGAGAAAAGTCAAAGACAGCCAGAGGCTCCCAGCCTTTCCCCAGTGAAGGTCCAACAAGATGCATTTTCTGCTAAGAAGGTAGCAAACTCTAACTAGCAGAGCCTATGTCGTGAGTGACAATTGTGCCCCCACCTCCCAACATAAAATAGATGGCAAAAAGAGTTGGACTACAAGAGGAACCACTGGAAGCAGAGTCCTATGCATTTTAAAAAGAATCACTTTGCTAGCTGCTTCCTATACCTGGAGCCAGCACATTCAGTGTCTGAAGAGGACTAGAAATGCCAGCCCTCAGTGTCCATGCTAAACTGGCAGGAAGTTTTCATAGTCCTGACCAAATATGCCTTGTGAAACCAGGCTGAAGACTGACATCCAAAACAGACCAGCACAGCAGAAGGGAAGATGAGCTCCTTTCTCTCTGCAATCCCAACACATTTCTAACCACCTTCAGAATTCTGAGCTTGGACAGGCTCATGGAGGATGAAGGAGGAAAAGCAGTCCCAGAAGGGAGAGATTTCCTCTATGCACTTGCAATGTCCTTTCCTTTTTAGAGGGAACAACCCAGCTGAAAGCTGAAGCTTGAATAAAGAAGTTTCTTTATTCATATTCCTCCCTGAAAAAGAGTTAACAGTTTCATTTTCTCAACACAGAGGCTTTGGGAATTAATGTGTCTGTCTGGTAATGCAAGTTCTCTAAGCTACTCTCCTATGACATGTGACCTAACAAGGAATGCAATTTTTCAAGTGATATAATCCTACAGACTTAAATAGGAAAAAATGTGTATTTTAAATCTGGCATTAGCTTGTCACTGTTCAAAGAGTCAACGAGAGCTCAAAAGGAGAATTTCTTCAGCTTTCCATACCCTAGTCCTTTCCTTCCAACCTCTGTCCCACATCCACATACTGAATTTATGCCAACTTTATTTCAAGTTACGTATCTTTTCCCTATTAGGCCTATCACACAGCATAGTAGCAATCAGAGAGAAGCCACTATTATCTTTAGGGCTCTTCAAGTCCTCATCCCTGGGAGAATGGCCTGGATGGTCTCTTATACATCACACTGCCATCTACATCTCTATATACAAAGGCAGCTCCTAGCACCCAGTTTAGTTCTTTAGGGGTAGCAACAAAAGACCCCAACAAGTTAAAGGCAGGAAAGACAAAGAAACATATCCTAAGAGGTCAATCTAGGAAACCTGCAAAGCTGGGTATGTGGGAACAGTAAAATGTTTTAATAGCTGAAAAGATCCCAGAGGGTCAGGTACACAGTCACATGGGTCAAGCAGGACTCACTTTCCTAGGCTGGTTTTGAGTTCCTTTCCAAAATTCGGCAATGTGGGAAGAAATATCCAAACTGTGAACTGAGCTTCTTACTAGTGTCCTGAAAAATATATCCTTTAAAACGTGCATAAACTTGTCTGAGGGAATTGAGACACCAGGAAGACCAAGTGTTGAGGCTGGAAAAAATAAGGCTGTCCAAATAAAATTTAGACACAGCAGATTCAAGGATGACTTCTGCAGGCTCATGCTAATTGTCAGCACACCTGGCCTCCCCTATGCCTTTGGCAGCAATATCTTTTCTTAAAAACAGAGTAGGATAGGGTGGAAAGGAGGCCGGGGAATAGACTTCATGAAAGATGAGGTGGCAGATCAACAGTGCTCTTCTACTTATAAATGGTGAGTCTGATGGTGATGGTGAACACAGGCTTATGAACAGGACAACAGTAACTAAATGACTCAAGTGACAACCACCATCACAGCCCCACCTTCTGATTTACAACTTTCAACAATCATCAAAGTTACTGTAAACTAAGTACTCTAAGTCTGCGTTTTCTTGAATGGGGTTCAGGACAAACAGGCAAGGGCTCGGCAGGGCATTGGTTATCCCAGTTCACTGCAGGAGACCCCAGCGATGGGGGAGCTGAGCCTCAAATTCTGGTTTGCACCACCTGCTCTTTCTGCTTGTCCCTTTTCCCATCCAATTCAATAGATTCCACAAAAAGTTCTCCAGGGGCTCACTGTCCTTGGTAAGTATACAGCAGGGTGAGAGGGGCATTTCCTAAATATCCAGTTTATCTTGGTCAGCTTATTTTGTTTAAACACACACCGCAGAACACTCCTGATGAAGCGGGGGAAATGCAATTTCCTTAACTCGAAAGAGCTATTCAAAAAAACAAAACAGGAAACTGCTCCAAACAAAAATCAGCAGAACAAAACAGAAATACTCAGAGGCTTGTAGAATAAGACTGAGCATATTAGTTACTCAGAGTCACAGTATCGTGAGACCACCACTCCCCTTCCCGCTGTGCGTCCCTCGCCCGCCCCATCCCCATCTTCAGCTCCACTATTTTGTGCATTACTGTCCCCAGATGTGGGGACAGACAAGTCCTCCTCAAAGCTTTGTCGGCTCAGTACTTCTCTCCTGGAATAAACTCCTTGGCATCTGGGTTCAGGTTACTTTTGCTCTGAAATAAGAACCAAGAGATAATAAATCCTAAGGCAAGCTGCATTTTAAAACTTCCCCAGTCCATCATTATCAGTACCTTCCCCTTAGCTTTAGGGAGAGAAAGAAAGAAAATTCCTTGTAACTCAGGCTGTTATTGCTCGGTTGTTCTCAATTGCTCCTGACATAGCCCTGAGCAAGCGATCTTCTTCCTTCTTTAGACTCTTGTTTCCTTCCTGATGCTTTCCAAAATCTCCTCAGAGGCCTGTAAGTTCAACTCCAAGAAGAATTTTTCAATTAATTGAGTACAATTAATTGAGAAAAGTTAACAATTAATTTTTCACTTGGTGAAAACCTGGGTACTCGATCAGACCAGGTTGGATACCACAATCTCTATTTTTCTTCATCTTTCTGTACTCTCTTTGGTTCTCTACTCTCTTGTGAATACGCAACACCTTAGCAAACCACAGGGAAAGATTGTTCAGAATATGAGTTGTGTGAAAACTATATTGCTCATGGACTTTTTTTTTTGAGACAGTCTTGCTCTGTCACCCAGGCTGGAGTGCAGTGGTACAATCTTGGCTCGCTGCAACCTCCGCCTCCCAGGTTCAAGCAATTCTCCTGCCTCAGCCTTCCAAGCTGGGACTACAGGCATGCGACACCATGCCTGGCTAATTTTTGTATTTTTTTAGTAGCGATGGGTTTCGCCATGTTGGCCAGGCTGGTCTCGAACTCTAGACCTCAGGTGATCCACCCGCCTCAGCCTCCCAAAGTGCTGGGATTACAGGCATGAGCCACTGTGCCCAGCCTGCTCACAGACTTCTGACACTACATAAATATGAAAGGCAGGAAATTCATTTATCTGTTTTTCTAATTCTAAGTGGAGAAAATGACCTCTCAGGAGTACATTTCTTCCAAAATGAACAGTTAATTTTTATAACAGAATCATTTAGAAGTATATTAAATACAGATTTGAGGGATAGTAAAAGAGAAGAATGGCAGCAAATGATAACTTGAGAAGAAACTTCTTGTGTTCAAATTGTTATCCTTAATCCCAGTTCTACTTTGAAGATCCCATTAGAAAGTAAAGGTTGGTGGCATCCAATCTTGGCAAGCAAAAAGAAAATAAAACTGGTGATGCTGGCAACAGTACTGTTTCATAGTGCTTTATGAGGAGGAATGCATCTTCAATGCACCCCTTATTAATAATGCCCATAAAACGAGCAAAGAAACAATAGCTCACAGGGCTCCAGAGACTTGTTGAGGGTTGTAGGGCCAGAAAGAAAGTCTGTCATTCCAAATCCTATATTCTTTTCACTACATAACATGAGGAACTACATATGACTCTTACCAAAATATCTTCAGAATCATGACCTTCACTGACTGACAGTCCATTTAACTGCTGTTGCAACTGTCCCATGGCCTGAGGCAGGTCTCGTGATGGAATAAACCAGTCTTGGTCTTCTTCATCCAGCATCTCTTGGAAGCAGCGGTCCAAGAAGTCTTGCTCCTGCAGTTCCTCCTCCACCTAGCAAGCAAAGGGGAGTAGCTCAGACTTACTGTCACAGAGGGACTTACCCCTTCTTCCAGTTTTTCCTTCACCTCTTTCCTTCAGAAGTTATTACTCTGCAGTTAAGAATGATCTTGAGCTGGGTGTGGTGGCTCACAACTGTAATCCCAGCAATTTGTGAGGCTGAGGCAGGAGGACTGCTTGAGGCCAGGAGTTTGAGACCAGCCTGAGCAACATAGCATGACCCTGTCCCTACAAAAAAAATTTAAAAATTAGCAAGGCGTAGTGGTGTGTGCCTGTAGTCTCAGCTACCTGGGAGGCTGAGGGTGGAGGATCACTTGAATCCAGGAGGTCAAGGTTTCATTGAGCCAAGACTGTGCCACTGCACTTCATCCTGGGCAACGGAATGAGACCTCAATTCTTAAAAAAAAAAAAAAAGAAAAAGAAAAAGAAAATATTTTATGATCTTACCTGAGGTCTAAGGGATCTAAGGATTCAATGTGTCTAATGACTAGCTAGAGATAACATAATTTTTATTTTTTCTCAACCAATTCTATCAATAATAAGACTAAGAAAATAGTTATTCACAATAACAGAAATTCAAGGTCTCCGCAGATGTTCTACGATCTCTAATAGGTGATACAGATATCATGGAAAATCATTTTAGAGCCTAAAATTCTTTTTTTCAGTCTTCTTACAAAGTAACCCTTCTTAAATTTCCCATTTTTCAAGAAGTATGAAAAAGATACAGCAAGTATATAACTAGTTCATGACCTGGCTAGCGGAGATAAAATCAAAACCAATGCTCTCAGCTTTTGGCCATTTTTTGGGTAAGGAAACCCTCAAGGGAGAAAAATACTTTCAGAACATTAGGAAGACATAAAGAACACTTTTTGGCATACCACTAGAAAATTATATAATCAATGTAGTATTCTTTCAAATGATGAAATATATGAATATTTAAACAACTCTGCATTTCTTCAACATTGCCCTAAAGCAATATATATCTAGGATATTTTACACTTCTTTGCAGACATTGTTAACTCTTAGTAAAGAGTGTGGTTCGCTCTGCCGATTTCAGTGTCTTTGATAGGCCTCTTGCTTCACGTTTGGCATCCCTTTCCTGCAGGCTGCCTGGTGACAGATTCACAGCTCACTAGCACCACCACCAGAAGTGAAGTCAGGCAAAAAATAATTACCCAAATTAGAATATACAGTTACCTAATGAATTCAGAGGAAAAGTTACCGGTAGTGAGACTTAAGAATAGTATTTGAACATTACAGTTAGCCACACATGAAAATTAGACAGTTATGAAGTACTTAATAAAATATTCTCATGCCACAAGAAGTAACATGACCACTTAAGAGCTGCCCTGACTGTACAAGAGCTTTACAGCATGCTCACTCTTATTAAATTTACCCCTGTTCACCAGCACAACCAATGAAAATGGTTGCTGGGCACAGAGGTGTAACAGAAACATGCTATGTGCAATTCACACAGATCCCGATAGAGCCACATTAGGTGGAAACTGCTGTCTGTCCCCTTTAAACTTGTTTCCTTCTTCCCAGAGCACCAGGCTGTTCAGTTAAAATCACATTTGTCACCTTACATGCTGTGTATGGTCAAGTGACTATTCATCACAAAATGTTCCCACAAGGGACGTGGACACTTTGGCATCCCTTGGTTAAAAGGAGACCACTTGCCGTGGCCTTTGGCTCTCTCCCTTTCCCAGCTGCTGGACTTCACAGTGTTCCCTCAGCCACTCAGCTGATATATGCCCTGGGGGTGGCAGAGCAATACCATGGAAGGGAACAAGTGGGCACCAGATCACTTGTCTATCCAGAATGCTTACCTTGGGCTGTTAACGTCACAGAGACATAAAACAATGCATTACTGCTGAATCTTTGTTGAAGCAGTCTAGCCAACCCCCACCTCATGTACTTCTCTATTTCAGACTCACATCCTGCCAGTCCCCGAGGTCCCGTTTGAGGCATGCCATGCTGACCTGTCTGCATATAGCTGCTGTTTCCCACAAATCCATACCCAATAACACAGGGCATTAGACCAAAACAACTTCCTTTCATAAAATAAATTTCTTCACCTTTTCCCATAACACAAATTTTCCATGAAAACATTGCAAAAGGAGAGCAGAAACAAGATTTTTAGGAACTGGACTTAACCATGTCTAATTAATGAAAAATATTATATATGGGCACATGTTTTATTACATTTTGCTGTACTTTGCTTCACAGATACTGCATTTTTACAAATTGAAGGTTTGTGGCAACCTTGCATCAAGCAAGCCTATTGGTGCCTTTTTATCAACAGTATGTGCTCAATGTCTGTGTTACATTTTGGTAATTCTCTCAATATTTCAAACTTTTTCATTATTATTATATCTGTTATAGTGCTCTGTAAGCAGTAATCTCTGATGTTACAATTTTTTTAATTTTAGGTTTGAAGTACATGTGAAGGTTACATAAACACATGTCACAGGGGTTTGTTGTACATATTATCATATCACCAGGTATTAAGCTCAGCACCCAATAGTTATCTATTCTTCTCCTCCCACCCTCCTCCATCAAGTAGACCCCAGTGTCTGTTGTTCCTTGTGTTCATAAATTCTTATCAGTTAGCTCCCACTTATAAGTGAGAACATGTGGTATTTGGTTTCTTGTTCCTGTGTTAGTTTGCTAAGGATGATAGCCTGGCAACTCCATCCATGTTCCTGCAAAGGACATAATCTCATTATTTTTTATGGCTGCATAATATTCCATGGTGTATAAGTACCATATTTTTTTTTATCCAGTCTGTCACTGTTGGATGGGCATTTACTTGATTCCATGTCTTTGCTATTGTGAACAGTGCTACAACGAACATTTGTGTACATGTGTCTTTTTGATAGAATGCTTTATATTCCTCTGGGTCTACACCCAGTAATGGGATTGCTGGGTTGAATGGTAGTTTTACTTTTAGCTCTTTGAGGAATTGCCATACTGCTTTCCACAACGGCTCAATTTACACTCCTACCAACGTTGTATAAGCCTTCCCTTTTCTCCACAACCTCACCAGCATGTGTTTTTTTTTCTTTTTTTTCTTTTTTACTTTTTAGTAATAGCCACTCTGACTGGTGTGAAATGGTATCTCATGGTGGTTTTGACTCGCATTTCTCTAATGATCAGTGATATTGAGCTTTTTTTCATATGCTTGTTGGTTGTATGTATGCCTTCCTTTTGAGAGGTGTCTGTTCATGTCCTTTGCCCACTTTTTAATGGGTTTGTTTTTCTCTTGTAAATTTAAGTTCCTTGTAGACGCTGGACATCAGACCTTTGTCATATGCATAGTATGCAAATATTTCCTCCCATTCTGTAGGTTGTCTGTTTACCCTGTTGATAGTTTCTTTTGCTGTATAGAAGCTCTTAAGTTATTTAGATCTCATTTGTCAATTTTGGCTTTTGTTGCAATTGTTTTTGGTGTCTTTGTCATTAAATCTTTGCTCATTCCTATGTCCAAGACGGTATTGCCTAGGTTGTCCTCCACGGTTTTTATAGTTTTGGGTTTTAGCCAGGCGCGGTGGCTCAGGCCTGTAATCCCAGCACTTTGGGAGGCCGAGGCAGGCAGATCATGAAGTCAGGAGATTGAGACCATCCTGGCTAACATGGTGAAACCCCGCCTCTACTAAAAAATACAAAAAATTAGCCAGGCGTGGTGGTGAGCGCCTGCAGTCCCAGCTACTCTGGAGGCTGAGGCAGGAGAATGGTGTGAACCTGGGAGGTGGAGCCTGCAGTGAGCAGAGATCACGCCACTGCACTCCAGCCTGGGCTACAGAGCGAGACTCTGTCTCAAAAAAAAAAAAAAAACTTTTGGGTTTTACATTTGTCTTTAATCCCTCTTGAGTTTATGTTTGTATATTGTGTAAGGAAGAGGTCCACAGGAGTTCTCTGTATTTCCTGAATTTGACCATTGGCCTCTCTAACATGGTTGGGGAAGTTTTCATGGATGGTATCCTTGTATTAGTCTGTTTTCACGCTGCTGATAAACACATACTCAAGACTGGGCAATTTAAAAGAGAAGGAGGTTTACTGAACTTATAGTTCCATGCGGCTGGGGAGGCCTCACAATTATGGCAGAAGGTAAAAGGCAAGGAGGAACAAGCCACATCTTAGATAGATGGCAGCAGGAAAAGAGAGAGAGCTTGTGCAGGGAAACTCCCATTTTTTAAAACCATCAAATCTCGTGAGACCAATTCACTACCATGAGAACAGCAAAGAAAGACTCACCCTCATAATTCAGTCATCTGCCATCAGGTCCCTCCCACAACACATGGGAATTATGGGAGCTACAAGACGAGATTTGGGTGGGGATACAGAGCCAAACCGTATCAATCCTAAAATATATCTTTCAAGTTATTTACTTTGTTCCCCTCCCTTTCAGAGATGCCAATGATACATAGATTTGTCCTCTTTACATAATCTCATACTTCTTGGAGGTTTTTGTTCATTCCTTTTTATTCTTCTTTATTTTTGACTGTCTTATTTAAATTTTTTGAAATGGAGTTTTTCGCTTGTTGCCCAGGCTGGAGTGCTGTGATATGATCTCAGCTCACTGCAACCTCCGCTTCCCAGGTTCAAGAGATTCTCCTGCCTCAGCCTCCTGAGTAAGCTGGGATTACAGGTGCTTCCCACCACGCCCAGCTAATTTTTGTATTTTTAGTACAGATGGCGTTTCATCATGTTGGCCAGGCTGGTCTCTAACTCCTGACCTCAGGTGATCCCCGCCTCAGCCTCCCAAAGTCCTGGGATTACAGGTGTGAGCCACCATGCCTGGCCTGTCTTATTTTAGAGAACCAGTCTTCAAGTTCTGATATTCTTTCCTCAGCTTGGTTTATTCTGCTGTTAATACTTGTGATTGCATTATGAAATCCTTGTGTTATTCAGCTCTGTCAGACCTGTTAGGTTCTTTTTTATACTGGCTATTTTGTCTTTCAGCTCCTGTATCACTTTACTATGATTCTTATTTTCCTTGGACTGGGTTTTGCCATCCTCCTGAATCTTGATGATCTTTGTTCCTATTCATATTCTGAACACTGTGGAAATGACAACAAAGGATTTAGAATATTACATAATCAGCTTAGTTGATAAAGCAGTAGCAGGGTTTGAGAGAACTGTTTTTTCCCTTCAATTTCCATTTTATCCAGTACTGATATTGCTTTGTGTTTGAAATTTCCTGATATTTTCTGTCTTCATTATTTTATGTTTTCCTTTTCTGAAGCATTTTAATTCAGATGTTTCTCTTTTAGGTTCTTTACATGTGAACCTGTTTCCCTTATTGTGGAAGTAATCCATTTTCTTTGCATATGAGTTGGGAAATCAGAACTAAGAAAACCAAATTGGAAGGAAAAAAAAGCCCCCCTAATCTCGACACTCACACATAATGAATATTGTTGACATTTTAGAATATATCTACCCTGATTTTTACTTAATAGACACCCCATGGGGAAATGACAGAAGCTTAGAGTAAAAAAAAAAAAAAAAGTCTCCTAGTTAGAAATGACCCACAAGATTTTAAAATTCACTAAGCATTTTCCATCTTTTTCTGTAGCCTGAATAGCCAGTGAGAGTGTATCTTGCAAGTTGCATGTAATTAGATTTCTCCCTTTTTTTCCCCTTAATCCAACTGCATCTTTTTTTTTTTTTTTT